TTGGTTTTTAACCTTCATTTTGACATGAATTTTTACTTCCCCATTCTTGAGTATTTATTTTTGCATTAAGTCTTCCTTAAAGGTCTCTTATAAAAAAAAGTAATTGTAGGAACAATATTATAATATATATATATATATATATATATATATATATATATATATATATATATATATATATATATATATATATTACATTTAGAGATTTATTTTTTAGTTTGGTTAATAACATACTCTTATTTGATGTACTGTTATGAAATTCAGATTCTATGGTAATATACTCAGTTTTCATTGCAGGTAGAGAGCTCATTATCGCCATTGCCTGTGCAACAACAGATTATTAGGAAACGTGCCAACAGTCCAGAAGATTCAGAAGAATCTAATATGGACTATTACAAGAGTAAGAGACTTAAAGAAGAAACAGAATTGGCAGATCCAGACATGAACTTCTTCGTCTCCCTTCTTCCAGATGTACGTAGTATGAACCCAGCTCAAAAACGCAAAATGAAAATTGGCCTTTTAAAACTCATCGATGAAATCCTTGTATGAGGAAGGCTAGAAATAGTGAGATCCAAAATGAAGCATCACAAGTGACCCTGCCTCAGTTGAGTGTTGCTCAATCTAATAAAGGACAGGGATAGTGTAAGATGAGCGAGTTATTATAATTTTCATTTGACTTTGGAACATATTGTCTATAGGATTATAATTACATAATGCGGTTAGTTATATTGACTAACATCCGGTAATCCCTTCTCTTTTACAGAAATATTCAAAAGGTTTTATTTTTCCTTTAATTTTTATTGGAAATTGAATGAAAATATTATTAACAAATATTGTAAATGGACAATTTTTATTCTTTGTACTGTGATATGGCATAATATTAAATGCAAGTTAAACAATGATGGAATCGTTTAATTATTTTTTATTAACACAATGCTATTATAATAAGAATAGGGTGATTTGATTTCATCAGGTTAATAGAACATATTTCTAAGCATTAATGGCTCCTAATTAATTTATAATGGCTAAAAATTCCTCTTATTTACTAAGAAAAGGATTAAAATCATAGAAATAAAAGGTTACTCTCTATGGAATACATTTTTTTCTGACAAAATCAAACAATGTGCACTTTTTTATTAGTATTTAATTGGAAAATATCTGGTTCTTAAACTGTCACTTCATTACAGATTTAATTATTTGTTAGTCTTGGTTCTCTAAACAGCACCATAAATTTTAAGAGAGTTATATTTCCACGGTTGGTGGTGTCGGCATCGAACCTTCGGGTTCGCTAAGCCTTATTATTATTATTATTATTATATTTCCACTGTGTTTCTATAATGATTAGAGCAATTTAACATTATACAAGGTGATATGTTATATTTTCCTGGTTGGAATCAAAGGCTATTAGAAGATTACTTATAAAAAAAAAAAAAGGAACCAATCGCATATTTAAAATATGAAGTTTGTTTTTAAATTAAAAGAAAATTACTTAGTATTATTATTGAAATTATTTTATTTATTGCAGAATTTCTATAACTGGTGGCATTCATTTTATGTTTTTTTTTTTTAGATAAACCGAAACTAGTAAAAGATTTTCTCGATAATTTCAAAGAGGCCTTCAAAAGTGTCTTAGCTTTTGCAATAATATCTGTTTTAATCATGCCAAAAGCCTTGATGACATGAAAAAGTTTTCATGTAACAAACTGGGAGATGATGGCTTTCTATTGGCTCTAACATGTTGTCAATCTTTTCATTGTCATTTTATATAAATAATTAAGCATAAACATAAAAATACATCTTCAGTTTTATCTATTATATTAATTTTTTTTTTAAATGAAAATAATAAAAATAAAATAAATAGTATTGATAATTTATTTAACAATAGCTTCTTCCATTTGAATTTATTGCCAACTTGGATGCATCAAGAACCCCAATACTAAAATAAATAACCATACAAGGAGCTTGGTTTAAGACAATTTGTTTTATTACATATTTGATATCACATATTAAGAATAACTGTAAGTCATGAATAAAAGCCCCAAGGTGACATCGATATATTGTTCAATGTTATTGTTACTTATTTAATATCATTGGTTTAAGTTTTCAAAGGATCAAAAAAGTATAAGCTTCTTTTCCAAGATGCATTCCACATATAAAATTTTATGTACTATGAATATTTTTATTAAGTTGTGCTCATGGCTTTTGAAAAATGTATTTAGTCTAAATTGACAACAAGCCTCTATTTATTTGATTACAATTCTGAAATAGTTTAAATCTTACCAACTATCTGGTTTAGAAATTTGAAAAATTGTTATAAAATATGTATTAAAATATTTCCTGTTGTAAAATGTTTTAAATGTCTATTATTCAAGTGTTCAGTTACAAAAATATTGTAAATTTATTTAATAATATACAAAGTAATATGATAATTTGTAGAATAATTTACACACTGAAATATCTGAAGCATCACAGTTACCCAACTAACAGTAGCATATCCTGCAGCTTGAAAGTATTTTTGTAGTTAAGTATTTTTAAAATTAAATAAATGATTATATTTAAATTAATTGTTTATTAACACACAGTATCATGTAAAAGTGTTTAAAAGATAGTATCCTCACATATATTATTACAGTACAGTAAGGCTCAAAATCGGTTTTGTACCAAATATAAGCTCCTGTCATGCTCAAATACCATGAATGGGGTACCATTGGATTCAGAATTTCATGGGGGTCAGCGAATCGTATTCTCCCCTTTTGTTTTTCTTTCTAAAATAAATAAAGTCGATACAAACATTTTGCTAGGCTTCAATACAGGAACAGTGGTAGGTCTGTAGATCGATACGGGACAAAATGGACCTTGAAGATTTTGGTGCGTACAGCAAGACCCGGATAGTTCCTCTGGAACTACCGGATCCTGCGTTTTCAAGCCCAAAAACGTACAATTTTCGAGATAATGCAAGGCATAGGGTTTGCATCCACATAACCTTACGTTAATTGTAGTACTGTCATTGAATACATGTCTCATTTTGTCGACTTGAGGTCTCTATGATTGAGAGAGGAGTTTATATAATTTATTGATGATGTTTTTGATCGGCAAGCCATATCATCGTTAATTCTTCACCAAATCTCAAGATTGAGCCACCAATTTCGAAGGCCTCCTTCTCTTTCAGGCGGGCAAAATAGTTCAATCTCCCCGAAAATTCAGACAAACAAGTTATGAAAGAAAACAAACTTTATTTGCGAATAACTAAAAAATTACACACTTTTCCCTCGGTTATGCCCATGATTATATAAAAGATTACTAAATTCTCTGCAAAAGGAAAAAAAAAATCATCGAAATCGTATAAATTTTAGCCAAGATACAGCTTATTGAAATTTGTAAACATGTTGGTTCCAAACATTAATGAAAATATAAATTAATTTTTGTTTCCTTTGTCGATTATATTTATCGATAAAGTAACAATTGATTTCTTTATCTTTTGATATGTTGCATTATTTTATTTTCTTATAAATTTGGCATTTGAAAACAATATGCTGTACGAATTTTTCACACGGGCCCAACTAGTCTATTTAAATAGTTGATATTCATTAAGTAACAGAGAAAATGGCAGAACATTTCTTGTTCGACGAAATCAAGTATTTGAAAAGAAAAATGATTCAACTACAGGTGAATCTGTTTAGTAAATACAGGATACAAATTGTTCCCAAGAGCATTGTATAAAGCATCAAGAAAGTTTTTACAGTGCTTGAGAATGAAGGAATTACAATGGGTCTATTAGATTAATTAGAACAAGACAAGGAAAATTCCATTTTGCTTGAAGAGGCACTACATAGTTAGAAACAATAGATTTGAGTGTGTCAAATGTTTTAAGTACTTGGGATTGCTGATCAAAAATTATATGATGAGGAAGAAGAAATACAATGCAGAACAATGGTAGCGAATCGATCTTATTTCGGTCAATCTAAATTCTTAAAAAAGTTGACAACTCAGTCGCACAACCGATTTCAGACTTCTGACAGAAAACTTTTCGGACCTGTCTACACATATGAACCTTTGCGTAAAGCATCAGCTCAACGCATGCACATGCTTCTGAGGAAGATCATAGATGCATTTAATGTAACTGTTGAGAAGAATGGTTAATTTCGACTTTATCGAAAGGGATGACTGTTGGAAAGACTGCTTTATGCCTCTCTTGAGCCTATAATGAATGGTTCCATAATTCATTGATTTGATAGATTCAGTTTTCTATATTTCCTTTGGTTCCCCAGTGTTTTTGATAAAGTAAGTGTACAAATTAAAGTCTAACCAGTATTGAGAACGATAATGTCGTTTCATATAATTTCAGTGTATACTTGTAAAGGCAGATGATATATTTCCAAAAACTTTTAGAGTTACCAAGTATTATGTACAACAAAACGCATTATTAATTTGTACCACAAAACTATCCATTTATTAATGTACAAGAGAAAGAAAATTAAAAATTAATTTTAAAAATATAACAGGTTTTTCATAAGGAAGTTGATTACAGTGGTTGCTCACAGACCATTTGAGAAAGATACTATAGAATAATAGTCAAAGCCTGTACAGATCAGCAGGCACTTAAGTGTAGTTATACATTTTGAAATATAAAAAATACAGTTAACAGCATGTTTTAACTGTATTTGCAGTTGAATAAATTAAAGCCAAAAGCATCCCCACAATATCATTATAATAAGCTAATATTTTTGACAGAATTATACAAGAAGCATGATTTCTAGCATTAGCTAGATTATTTTTCTAGACCTGACTAGAAATACTAAAAGCAGATATAATTAAGATGATTTAAACACACACAAAACACAAAAGAAAGAGAGAAAAGGGCCAGCAATTTGATAACGTGGCTCTCTGACTACATTTGACTAGCACTTTCCCTGCGACTAGGAACACAGAAAAATAAATCCTAAAAAGGAAGACAAAAGAAATTATAAAAGATTTAAAAATGAAAGACAATCACCACCATTGTTATCAACAATACTTTATTTACAATACAAATATATACAAAAAACAATTATTTACAAGCTATTAATTCAGAATCAAAGTTATCTACGCTTTTTCATTTTTATCTTTATCTTCAATATTACCTGTAATGGTTTCTTCATTACTTTTCTTTCCTTCACTTGACATTCCTTGAGCAATTCTTAAATATTGTTCATGACGATAATCTTTTCTAGCAGCATCTAACAAAACGTTGTGAAGGAGATTTCTATTACGAGATAAATCCTTTATTAATGGTGGGTACGGATTTCCTAGAAATGAAATTTAATGCTCTAAAATTCTTAGTAATAAGTTTTCAAAGTTATATAATCAAAGTAAATAGATATACCATCTTAACCCACAAAATCGAACATGGATTAAAATTAATCAGTTTTAAAATTTCTTTATGTTTAAAAATGTATACATATTCAACTAATATTTAATAAACAGATCCTGAGGCATGGCTTTAGTAGTCCATTTGAGTGGAGTCTCATTATGTCTCTGAGAAGTTAAATGTAAAGAACTGAATTGAGGTTTGTTAGAAGAACATTGTGATAGATTCCAGCAAGAAATAGTTGATGACCAATAAAGCTTGACTTTCCTTAACAACGTATTATACAATTAGCAGAAAATGTTGAGTTTATATCAGCAATAGTTTGAGTTTAAAAAACGTATGGTTGTTAAGCCCATGCAATAACAATTTTCCTTACAAATAGCTATATTATAGAGTGTTGTTTAAATTTTATTTTTATAGAACGTTATGACCTAAAATAGGCATTAAATTTTGTTTTTTGTTCAAATAAAATAAAAAACAAATGTAATCCAGGCGAAAATCAACTACAAAAATTAAAAAAGAAATATAAAAAATATAAAAGTGTAATCCGATGAAACAACTGGCTCTTCAGTTTATACCATAAGAACACTTTACATGGTATAATAAAAAAAAATTATAATACAATAATAATTTTGCAACACTCGATTTGTAAATGAAGCTAAATAAAAAATTAAATGGAATCATTAAATACAACTATAAGCCTAAACTATATTTTAAAATAAAATTATTCAATAGATATATAAATAACCATAATATTTATTATTATTATTAAAAAATAGGTACCTCTAAGTTCTAAAACACCTTGCATACGTGTTAATTCATGGTCTGTTGATAACCTCAGAAGCTTGGTATAGGACATGTTGCATTCATGAAATCTTGGAACAAGAACTTTGAACAGTTTATGAATTAGTTGCTTTTCTGTAAGCCAATAATCGGCTATTTCCATTGTTGGTGCATGGCAATCACCATACCTGATAGCTTCAGAAATGAGCTGAAATAAAACTATGATGTTCAAAGAAAGTAATAAGAAAAATAACAATAAAATTCAATCTTAGCATTAGTTTAACACAACTAAAAATTAAAATAATGCCATAATCTGATACTTACTCTTTCTGCATAGCCCCTTGCTTCATCTGCTACTCTATAGTTTAACTGAATTCTTTCATGTTTTATCAGACCAGTAACCACAATTCTCAATCTTTCTAGTCTTCCTTCAGGCCCTTTAGGATTTTTTAAGTTATAATGTCTGGGTCTAATATTAATTCGTAACTTGGAAACTAGCTTAGATAAATCTGCTTGATTCATATTGTGTTGAATTAATAAAAATCTTTACTGGTTTAATAGTAAAATTTCATATAAGAACATATAACTAAAGCAATACTATTAGTGTTATAACCTTCCAATCATACTTTTTGGTGTTCAAAGAGCAACTTAAAGGAAATATATTCACCATTCAAATTATAAGTTTTTTGTTTACTTCGTAGCGGACTGAGGGAATAAATCCCGATCTTTCTAACCTGTCTGTAATAAATTGGTAAGTTGTAGATGAGAAAATCCACTCTTAATGCCCCAGTTGGAGTATGCAGTAAATAACAGCTTAGGGAAAACTTAATTATTTATAAATTCACTCTTTAAACTGTTAGGTTTGAATATAAATGAAAGTCTTTTCCGTTCGAAAAAACTATATTAACAATTAAGATTTAAGAGAGTTTGTTACAACGGGAGGTATCTATGTGTAAAGTTTTGGTTTAACCAATATGATCCTGAGGTCTTTCTGTGTTTAATTCTCTATACTATAATAAAGTAAGTTACTAATATCTGCGCTAAGATATTAATTTTTGATTTTTACTGCAGCTCGATCAATAAAATTATAAGACCTTCAGTAAAAATTAAAGAAATATTGTTTCAAACTTTTTCATTGTCGCCAATCATTGATACAATGCACTACAACAATTTATTGGTCAATATAAAGAGGTAATTAGATATTGACTCGATAGTAGTGACTATGGAAGACCCGTTACATAGTCAATTTTATTCAAGCAGTATAATTGAGGGAAATATATTGCAGTTATCACACACTCGTATCAATTGTATTTGCCAATATATCAGTTATAATCTTACTTTCTCCAAATAAGTAGTTAGTTCATCATCATCATATGTGGCACGACATCCCGTTACCGAGACTGGGCCTTCTCCAAGAGCCTCCGCCAGTTGGCTCTGTCTTCTGCTGCAGCTCTCCAGTTCCGTACACCAAGCAGGGTTCTCGCATCATAGGCCATGTTGTCCAACCATCTCGTCCTCGGCCTTCCTACCCATCTTATTTTCTTTCCGCAGCTCCTCCATCATTATTTTCTTTGGTATTTCAACGGTGCTCATTCTGGCCACGTGCCCTGCCCACCTTAGTCTGGCCAGTTTAATATTCGTGACTACGTCGATGTCTGTATAGAGAGAACTGAGCTCCCTATTTTTTCTTTTCCTCCAGACAACACCCTCCTTTACTGGACCATAAATCCTTCTGAGGACTCTTCGCTCAAACACACTCAGCTTCATCTCATCGTTTTTAGTCATCGTCCAAGCCTCTGAGCCATATGTCAAAACAGGCCGAACAAGGGTCTTGTATATGATCAGCTTGGTCTTCTTTGAGAGATACCTACTTCTTAAGTGTCGGCCAAGTCCAAAGACACATCTATTGGCAGCCGTGATCCTTCTTTGTATTTCTTGAGCCATGTCATTTTTGCTATTAATTTCAGACCCAAGGTATATAAAACTTTTCACTCTCTCAAACTTAAAAGAACCTACCTCAAATGGAGAGTTCAGATCCACCTCACCACCAACTCTCAAGTACTTAGTTTTCCTCTCGTTGACTTCTAGACCAAGTGGTCTTGCAGCTGCTTCAAGGCCTATAAACGCTTCTCTGAGAGCCCGTTCAGACCTACCTATTATGTCAATATCATCAGCAAAACCAAGAAGCTGTGTCAGGCGATTGAAGATTATATCGTTGGTCTGAATACCGGAGTCTCTTACAGCTTTCTCCTCTGCCAAGTTGAACAATAGACAGGCGAGGGCATCCCCGTGCCTAACCCCACTGCTCACTTTAAACTCTTCGGAGTCTTCAGAACCGACTCGTATTCTACATCTCAAGCTGTCCATGGTCATCTTGATTAGGCGTACGAGCTTCTGAGGGATGCTTAGCTCCTCCAAGGCACAGTATAGTTGCGTTCTATCAACGCTGTCGTATGCTGCTTTAAAGTATAGGAATAAATGGTGGGTGACTACCTTACGATCCATAGTCTTTTCTAGGATCATCCTCAGAGAGAACAGTTGATCAGTGGTTGAGCGTCCTCTTCGAAATCCAGGCTGATATTTCCCCAGTTCCTTTTCAGAATACGGGAGAATCCTCTCAAAAAGAATGTTAGAGAGCAGCTTATAAGCACACGAAAGGAGTGAGATTCCTCGATAGTTAGCGCATTCTGTTTGATTTCCTTTCTTTTGTATTGGGCAGATAATGGCTGTTGCCCATTCCGTAGGCATAGCTTCCCTCTCCCAGATGGTCAGCATTAAATCATGCAGAGCTTTCTTGAGTTCTTCCCCTCCACATTTCAACAGCTCTGACTGGATTCCGTCCGGGCCTGGCGCCTTTCCATTTTTCAATTTCCTCAAGGCGTTTTCCATTTCCTCCTCATCCGGGGGTTCAATAGAATTCAGGGAATCTTCCTTCATTACTCCTACTTCTCCAGGCACCGTTCCTCTGTTTAATGCGTCTTTGAAATGTTGTACCCATCTCCTTAGTACGTCATCTTTGTGGCTTGAAAGAGATCCATTCGTGTCTTTACATGCCGTCACTCTGGGCCTGAAAGCTGCCCTACCCTCGTTTATTCTCTGAAAGAACAGCCGACTTTCATTTTGGCCGCGCAATGCCTCTGTATCCTCCATGTTCTTGTTTTCCCAAGCTCTTCTCTTTCCGCGGAATAATCTCTTCTCTTCGCGTCTTTTTCTTCGATATGTTTCTTGGGAGAGCCTTGTGGGACGCTGAACCTTCTTTCTGTAGGCATCATTTTTCACTCTTACTGCTTGAAGGCACTCAGCATCAATCCATGGAGGCCTTCTAGATTTAATCTCGTAGCCAAGAGATTCTTCTGCTGCCTGTTTCATTGCGTTGCTGCATCTCTTCCACTGTTCATCGACCATAGAGCTGTCATTAATTACATCTTCATTAAGTTTCGTCTCCACAGCTTGTTGATACGAATATTGGTGGTCTGAGTCCTTAAGTTTAGCTACATCAATCTTCTTCTTTGGTCGTTGGTGGTGGTTTTTAATCAGCGAAATTCGTGATCTGACCTCGGAAATGCTCAAATAGTGATCCGTGTCCATATTTGCACCTCTATAAGATCTTGCATTTATCATGTTGTACTTGTGACGGGCACTAATGAGTACATGGTCTATCTGTGATGTTGTTTGCCCATTTGGAGAGATCCATGTTGCTTTGTGGATATTCTTTCGAGGAAAAAGTGTTGTTCCAACAACCAGTCCGTGCAATGTAGCAAAGTTCACCATCCGTAGCCCATTATCATTACTGGTCTCATGCAAGCTGTGGGTTCCTATGGTCGGCATGAGTGCCACCTCCTTACCAACTTGGGCGTTAAAGTCACCAAGAATGATTTTAACATCATTTTTGGGGCAGCTTTCTGTCACGCGTCCAAGTTCTTCATAAAATATTTCCTTATCCTCCTCAGGTGACACCTCTGTTGGGGCATGGCAGTTGATTAGAGAGAAATTAAAAAATTTTCCTCTAAGCCGAATGTAGCATAACCTTTGGTTAATGGGAGTAAATCGCATCACTAGCTGTCGAGCTCTACCTCTCACAACAAATCCGGTACCGAAGATGTGATGCTTTTCATGGCAGCTACAGTAGAGTGTATGGTACTTCTTCTCCATAATTCCCTGTCCTATCCATCGTACCTCTTGGATAGCTGCTATGTATAGTAGTTAGTTACCTTCTTTAATTTTTTTGAAAATGAATAATAGTGATTTTCGTATTTGTTTTGTAGCCCCGAAAGTTTTTAAAGAGGATCGAAACGTTGATATGCATTATATGGTTTTGTACTAATGTTTGTATTATTTAGATTGCTCCACCATTCCATATTTTTTATATAATATGTATCTTAAAGTTATTTTAAATCATATCAACAATGTTCAACTTATAAGAAAATCAAAATTTCAAAATACTTTCTAAAATGAAATGAAAAAATACACAACACACAAACAGCTCTATGCCAGTTAGCATTTTTGAAAAAGCGTTTAGAGTTAGGAGGTTACGATATTGTTTGTTTTGGTCAATATTTATTCTAGGTTTCCCTGATACCACCTTGTTAATGATTTTCAAAAAAAATTAAATGAATATGTAGGATTAGTTGTAATTGCAGCCTTATTAAAAAATAATGATGGTCCAGTGCGAAATTTGCCGTATTAGCTTATCTGAAAATGATGTCCCTTTTCATAATAATGGAAAGAGGCATTTAAAGAACCTTGTCAGGCATAAATTGAATTTAAAACCTGTTGTGAAAACTATCTCTAATACTCCAATTGTAAATGGTTTGTCTCAATATTTTCTTTAATTTATTTTTCATTAGTTCATAAGAATTAAGTTATCAACCTATATTTTAACACCATTTGTAGATCAAAAAGCTACTGAAATTTTAGTTCATTTTTAGAAAAATAATATATGATGCATTTGTTATATAATTGTTTAAAATATATGTTGTTAATAATCAATTAATTCAAATGTATTTATTAAGGAAATTTGTTGCTACTACATAGAGGTTTAATTTTTATAACCTATCAATTAACACAGGATTTGTGGACAGTACATTATCTTCCACTATCTGTGAGTCTATAGTTATGTCATTGAAGTTTTGTTTTATTTACCCAGTTTGCTACACATTTGAGGAAGATCATGATTTTGGTGACAATCAGAACATTATTTTTATTTTCATTAGTAATCATACCTAATTAAGAGTCAGAGCATAATCATGTTAATATTCATAATATTTTTGTTTATATTTTCCACTTATATGTTGGGATGGAATAAAGGTAAGTGTTGTGGTGAATAACAGACAGTTTTGTTATGGTTTATTAAATGATGACCAATGTTTTTTCATGTTTGATTTGTATTATATACACATACTTTTAGCTTCAACTAACTAAATACTTATTTTACTTCTATGTCAGAGAACAATACTGAAACAAAAGAGGGTAAAAAAGATCTTAAACCAGAGAAAAAAAATGTTATTCCAACTAATTCAAAAGAAAATGTTGGTACTGTTGCAACTCCTACCAAGACAATAGATGGTGAAAAAAAAAGTAAAGAACTTGCTCAAGATAAAAAAAACCAGCAACCGCACCAGGACCCTTCAAAAAGGCGGGTTTGTAAAGTTTTATTTATTTTATTACTCTTTCTTTTTTTTCTCTGTAAGGAATATTAAAAAGAAGGGTAATCATTGCATTTTCTCTAATAATGTTTACCTCTTGTTCCTTCAATGTTTTTTTTTTTATTATTCATATCAAATTTAACAGCAAATTTGTTATGTGATTTTATCCCAATAATTTTTTCTTCAGTTACCAATTCAAAATGCTTAATTTTTGTGCAATTGGATATAAAAAAAGAATTAAATCAGTTAAAATTGAGGAAGTTAATTTTTTTACTCCTGTAATTATATTTTTGGCAAGATACGACTCCTCATCAATTACAATAAACAAAACATTACTAACTTCACAAATATGTGTAAAAATCATTTTTTTCATGGTGGGGAATGTGGCATTTATAGATTCTGGATAAAAAAAAATTCTGGACCAGAGATTCTTATTCTTAATTTACTTTACTTCAGTTAATCTTCACTAGTACATTGCTGGGTTACTGGTCTCATTTCTTTTTATCTCTTATCATCATAATCAATCTTTTGAAATTAAATGAATTTTAAAATGAAAATCTTTTAAATTGACAAGTTTCAAAAATCTAGTGGTAATGTTGTAAAGCTGCTAATGTTAATATTTTGAAATTGGTTTGTGAGAATAAAAATTTTCTGACCTCTCATACCATTGTTTTTCATGATCTCACCCGAAAACAGATTGAAAAATTATTATTTTTTCTCCTTAGTATTTTATTATGAACATGTTGATCAAAAAGAAAGATCATTTATTAATATTGAATGTTTAGTATAACTGGCATAAATTATCTATCTAATATCTTTTCAGTTACAAAAAAAAAAAAAAAAAAAAAAATGACTAAATTAATGTTATAGCATTGTAATACTAATTTTGATTCATTTTTAAAAAGTATTTCTTAGTTGTTTTTTGTTTTTTTTCTCTTCTAGCAAAAGCGAAAATTAAAAGATGAAACTCCCAGAACTGCTTCGTTACCTTTCATATACGTCAATAACCTTGTCAGTTTCGATCAACAAGTGATTAATTTTGTTATGCAAGTAGAACAAACTCAGAATGAATGGGCCAACATTAAGTGGGTAAGGAAATTAATAATTCATAAACTGTTTTTTTCTTGATTTTATTTTTTAATTTTAAATAATGGACTGAATGATTTAGAATATACTACTTTTTGGATGAAGCAACAAGTATAATATGATAAAATATTTTCAATAATTTTAATATCCCATTTGATACTGATTTTTACTTTCACTTATCTATATATGAAATATATAGTAGGGGTAAGTATTGCGATCGTGATAATTTTCGAATCTGAGTTTTCAACGGAAATACTTTGAGGCTTTCTGAATCCAAATAACCAAGTCCCACAAAATGGTCTGTGTGTGTGTGTGTGTGTGTGCGTGTGCGTGTGCGTGTGCGTGCGTGCATGCGTTTGATGCTGAGTGCCTTTAAGCAGTAAAAGTGAAAAATGAAGCCTACAGAAAGAAGGTCCAGCATATCATAAGGCTCTCTCAAGAAACATATCGAAGAAAAAGATGCGAAGACAAAAGATTATTCCGTGGAAAGAGAAGAGCTTGGGAAAATAAGACCATGGACGACACAGAAGCATTGGCCGAAATGAAAGTCAGCTGTTCTTTCGGAGAATAAATTGAAGGAAGACTCACTGAATTCTATATAACCCCCGGACGAGGATGAAATAGTAAATGCCCTTAGAAAATTGAAAAATGGAAAGGCGCCAGGCCTGGACGGAATCCAGTCAGCTTCAAGCAGATTCCAGTCAGAGCTGTTGAAATGTGGAGGTGAAGAACTCAAGAAAGCTCTGCATGACTTAATGCTGACCAATACATAAGAAAGGAGATCAAACAGAATGCACTAACTATAGAGGAATCTCACTCCTGTTGTGTGCTTATAAGCTGCTCTCTAACATTCTTTTGAGAGGATCGTCCCGTATTCTGAAAAGGAACTGGGGAAATATCAGGCTGGATTTCGATGAGGACGCTCAACCACTGATTAACTGTTCTCCCTCAGGATGATCCTAGAAAAGAGTATGGAGCGTAAGGTAGTCACCCACCATTTATTCCTATACTTTAAAGCAGCATACGACAGCATTGACTTAGTATCCCTCAGAAGCTTATACGCCTAATCAAGATGACCAGGGACAGCTCGAAATGTATAATAGGCGTCGGTTCTGATGCCTCTGAAGAGTTTAAAGTGAGCAGTGGGATTCGGCAAGGGGATGCCCTCGCCTGTCTATTGTTCAACTTGGCAGAGGAGAAAGCTATAAGAGATTCCGGTATTGTGACCAGCGACAATCGCCTGACACAGCTTCTTGGTTTTGCTGATGATATTGACATAATAGGAAGGTCTGAACGGGCTCTCAGAGAAGCGTTTACAGCCCTTAAAGCAGTTGCAAGACGAGTTGGTCTAGAAGTCAACGTGAAGAAAACTAAGTATATGAAAGTTGGTAGCGAGGTAGATCTGAACTCTCCATTTGAGGTAGGGTCTTTTAAGTTTGAGACAGTAAAAAGCTTTATATACCTTGGGTCTGAAATAAATAGCAAAAATGACATGGCTCATGAAATACAGAGAAGGATCACTGCTCCCAATAGATTTGTCTTTGGACTTGGCCGTCACTTTAGAAGTAGGTATCTATCAAAGAAGACCAAGCTGATTATATACAAGACCCTTGTACGGCCTGTTTTGACATATGGCTCAGAAGCTTGGACGATGATGAAAAGTGGTGAGATGAAGCTGAGTGTGCTCGAGCGAGAAGTCCTCAGAAGGATCTATGGTCCAGTACAGTAAAGGAGGGTGATGTCTGGAAGAAAAAAAAATTGTGAGTTCAGTTCTCTTCTTACAGACATCGACATTGTCACCTACATCAAACTTGCCAGACTAAGGTGGGCAGGGCATGTGGCCAGAATGAGCGCTTTTGAAATACCCAAGAAAGTTATGATTGAGGAGCTGCACCTCGCAAGACGGGTAGGAAGGCCAAGGATGAGATGGTTGGACAGCGTGGCCTATGATGCAAGAACCCTGCTTGGTGTACGGAACTGGAGAGCTGCTACAGAAGACAGAGCCAACTGGCAGAGGCTCTTGGATGGAGGAGGCATCGGTATCGGGATGTCGTGCCACTTATGTATGTATGTATGTGTGAAAGAAGAAGTGAAATATAAAAATATTTTATGGATATGTTTTATAACCTTACATACATTTGCTGTAGTTTAATAACTCTCAATATGATATTATATTTAAATACTTAGGTATTGCCCCATTTATTCCAAAAACTCATCAAGTAACCTTTTAGAAAATTAAATTTGTGAATAATTTGATGAATTTTGCCTTTGTGAAATCCCAACATTATCTACTTACAATTAGTGTGAAAAACTGATAATTTCATTTTAGTACACTTTACAATGGAAAATAACAGCTTAATAACTAAGAGTCCTACAATCCATAATCATTTATAGGTTAAATATTCAGATGTACGTTCAACTCTCTGTAGGCATATATGAGTCTTTCAGTTGACTGAATGACTAACTCCAATTTGAACAATCTTTATTATTAATTTCAGTGATGTTTCTAGTGGTAAAATTTATTCCTTTATCCACAGTTCTATGTTTCAACACTGCAATCCTCTACTCTGGAATCAACTTACTCACTGTCTGTACAGATATAACTTTTCCAACTTAGAAATATCACTAAAATGACATTACTCCAAAATACTGAAATTGGAGTTGGTCATTCTGTCAAATTGAAAGGCTCAGAGATTGAAGTTATGTGGTTTATAAAACTAGATTTTTATTGCCTACCATCAATATAATAAATAGACTTTTTGAAATTTTAATGGTCTTAATGATTTGTTATCTGTAAGCTTTAAGCTTTAGCTCCGTTTAAAATGCACTTCAAAAATTTTATAATAGCCCAATATTGCCAGAAAATTATTTCTATTAAAATTAGAGGAGTAAGTAAAAGTTGTATCTTGCGCGTACCTGATTTTTATAATAATGACTGACCCCTTTCACTAATTGTATTAGAAGTGTGGACAGACAGCTTCATTAATTGCAAAGAGTTTTATTTATAATTTTATACATATACATATATATATATATATATATATATATATATATATATGTAATAATATATATATATATATATATATATATATATATATATATATTATTTATTTGACGTGAAATAGCCCTGAAGGACTACGCGACTCTGAAATGGGTTTCTTTTTCAATTTCCTCTTTTCTGCCCATTTCTGCTTGAGGATCTCGCTAAATTTTTTCTTCCTCTCCTCCTTCCACTTCCTCCTGGAAGCAAGTTCCTTACTGTCCATCACATGCACCACACTTTTCAGGAATTTCTTATATTCTGTCCTATCCTCACATAATTCCTGTGTTATCCCAAGCCTGTGTATTCTCTGTTTTATTTGCACCGTGTATCCATGGTTAAACTTGTATCCCATAATCCTACTGAAAATCTTCTTGTTTAACCTCTCCTCAGTCATCCTTTGTATGTGTCCATAAAACCTAAGTCTTATATATGTAATATTTTATTCCATGATTTAAGGGGTAATGTTATAAGTAAGCTACAATCTATGCTGTAACTGTGGGGTTCTGGTTTTACAGGGGTACACATGCACATCAAATTTATTATTGGTCACTTCAGATCTCCTTATTCTCAGATAGTCTAAGGTGGGATTTATATACATCAAAAGCAATTATACAGAAAATCTTTATCTTAAGATAAGCAAGATTTATACTGAAGTGATAAAGATATAGCAAGTGAAGGTTTATGCCATTATACTTTATGCCACACTTGACCATAAGATCCTCCTTACGAAATTGCACAATCTTCCTCTATCCAACAGTGCCCTGCACTGGTTCAAATCCTTCCTTTCAAATCGGTCTCAGTATGTAGTAGTCCCAGGCCAACCTTCATCTAAGACCCTTCCCCTCTCCTGTGGTGTCCCTCAAGGTTCCTCTCTATCTCCTACTCTGTTTGCTATCTACATCAATGACCTTCCCCTCATGATCCGTCACTCCCAATACCATATCTATGCAGATGATTTCCAAATATACCTGTCGTTCCCACCCTCAGACCTATTATCTGCCACAGAGAAACTACAAGAAGACTTGGATAGGATTTGTGACTGGACGATAACTAACAAGTTGAAGTTGAATGCTGGAAAGACGAAGGCAATCTTAATAGGCTCCAATTACCTCCTTAAAACCGTTCCTAATATTCCAACTCTGTTCCTGCATGATAATCCCATCAAATTTTACCCCACCGTAAAAAATCTTGGAATAACCTTCGATCAAACACTTTCCTGGAAAAACCATGTATCCAATATTTCCTGCCATACCATTTCCACTCTAAAACGTCTAAATTATTCTCGTCACCTATTTCCATTTGAAACCCGTAGGCTCCTAGTCACTTCTTTAATTTTCCCCCACTTTGACTATTGCTGTTCGGTATATGAGGGCGTCTCTGGGGATCTCGAGGCGAAACTAAAACGTTTAATAAATTGCTTTGTAAGATTCATCTTCGGGATACCAAGGGACGCCTCTCTTTCCCATTTTTATGCAGAGTTGAAGTGGCTTTATCTTTCCTACCGTCGTAAATATTTCCTGGCATCCTTCCTCTTTCAAGTTATCCAATCACTCCGTCCTTCATACATCTCTGAGCTGCTTCAATTTAAATCCTCTGTTCGTTCCCGTAATACTCGTTCCCGGTCTTCTGACTTATATATAAGGGCCCATCGAACCGCTGCTTTCGACAGATCTTTCATTATCCAATCTTCATCCCTTTGGAACTCCATCCCTTCTCACATTCGACAATCTAATACCCTTCCTATCTTTAAATCCCATCTGTTCAATCATTTCTTATCAATCCAGTCCCCATGAAATTGTAAATAGATACTAATGTAAATATGTATATAAATTATTAGCTCGTTCTTCATTATTTTTACTTCATCCTTTTTATTTAATTTTTTAAATTTTAATTATAAACTGATTAAAATTAGAATGTAACTTATAATTTTTAATTTTATTACTATGACTGTTTACTACTCTGTATCTTTATTTATGTATCTCTGAGGCTCCTTAGCCCATATTTATGTCTTTTTGTATTATTCTAAAGGGAATCGTCCCAGAATAAATAAAGTATTATTATTATTATACTTGATTTTGTTGTGTAACGAGGATAAAGTTGTTGTGAGCATATGGTGTTAGGGAAAAAAATAAAGGAGTAAAGACAGTGGGTGCATCTATATAATTTATAGAATGGAAAACATAGTGCAGTTACCAAGATGGCTATCTCACCTAATTTGTTAGTGCATCAGATGAGTCTAGAATCATTGAATTATTCCTCAAGCTCAGATATGATTCTTCTACTTGATTGAAAAAACCACAAAGCCAATGTTCTCACCCTTTGGATTTGCCATCTTCATCCTTTGCAAGATTCTAAGACAATGATGGAAGAGAAAAGCAGGTCATATCTCTTGATCTTAAAAGAAATGTTGTAATCATACAAGTGTGAACTCATTTTATACTTCCTTATGTGCATTTTATAGGACAATTATTTATATCATTTACTACCTATGATATTGTATTCAATTTCTGTGGTATGAATCCTGCCCTTAGGTTGTGTGCTAGTTGCTGTGTTATATTGAGGTCTTGGCCTAACCTCGCACCAAGTTACTCACTTGGATCTATTATCATTTGGGGGTTTGAGGAGTATGGCTTGGGTCTTGATCTTTTTTATTCATTTATTTTTTATAGTTCCTAGGTCATAAATTTAAACACTAGGGAACGACTTTTCTTCAAGTTCCTTGAGCTGGTGTACTCAAATCAACTGATCCTTGACCAATGTCAGGTTACCATTTCTTTGAGGTTGAGTAAAATCAGCTTCTGCCAAACTTCAATCCTTATCTTAACATAAACCATCACATCAACTATCACATTCACGGTCTAATAAATTAAGTAGACAAAAATTATTGATATTAATTGAATGGTGGAATTATATGTTGTATCCTGGATGTTTGTAGTGAAAATAATCATCATTATATAATAATATGTTATAAGAAGAACTTTTAATTCATTCACATTAACATTATACTTTGAATTTTTAGTTTTGTAATGTATATTAATGTAATAATGTAACTAATCTATCTGTATGTTAATTATTTTAGGTTTTACAAGATGTTGAATTTACATTTGGACATGTAATACCTGGTGTTAAGCCGGTTCTATATGGTTCTTCTTTTTCTGGACTTGCTTTTAAAACGAGTGATATTGACGTGTATCTTTATGATAGTAAGTCATAAGTTCTATAATATAAGTAGGCTCAATTTTTCAAATATTATATATCGTTATACGACTTAATGTTGATTTAAGCTTGAAATTGAACTTTTTTGATGTCATTTAAAGTATACTCGGCGCTATAGTCTGCGTGGGACCTTGGCCTTCTCAACAATACGTCGCCACTCGTCTCAGTCCAATGCGACAGCCCTCCACCGCCTGACACCAAGCTGTCTCAAATCTGCCTCAACATCCTCCAGCCAATGGAGTGGTGGCCTTCCTCTCCTTCTTGCTCCTCCAGGTCGCCCATACAATGTTTTCCTCGGTACTCGGTGCGCTGCCATCCTTTCCACATGCCCTAACCATCTTATTCGTCCTGCCTTAATGACACTTATGAGATCTGCGTCCCTGTAGAATTGTCGCAACTCCCGATTGTATCTTGACCTCCAAACACCTTCTTCGCATATGGGCCCGTAAATCTTCCAAGAATCTTACACTCCCACACTACAAGAGCCCTCTCATGTTTTGCTGAGATAACCCATGTCTCGCTTCCATATGTGACTACCGGACGAATCAATGTTTTATAGATTGTCACTCTGGCATTCCTTGATAGTCTTCGAAACGTGAATAGTCGCTGTATGACATAAAAACATCGGTTTCCCGCAGCAATCCTGGCTCCTATCTCAGCTCCTACATCATTGTCTGCCATCATAAGGGATCCCAGGTACTTGAATTCTCTGCATACTGGGAACTCGTGTTGGCCTATGTTTAGAGTCCGGTCTTGATGAGGACGATGTCTTGAACTCTTCATGTATATCGTCTTTTGCTCGTTTATTTGCAGACCTCGAGCTGCTGCAGCGGTCTCAAATTCCTTCAATACACCCGCCAGCGCTGGGAGCGTCCTTGCCACAATCTCTACATCATCTGCGTACGCCATGTGCTGTGTGAAGCGGTCAAAGATGGTGCCTCCAGTGTTGGTTCTTATGGCCCTTGCCGCCTTCTCCAAGGTCATGTTACAAAGGTGAGTCGCCTTGGTGTCTCCTTGCATTATTCTCGAAACCACAGAGAACTCCTCTGACAGCAATCCTTGTAGTTTCACTCTGCATCTGGTATCTGCCATTGTCATTTTTACTAACCGAGTGAGCTTCTTAGACACACCCAGAGAGAGGAGATCCCTCATCAAAACCTGCCTATCCACTGAGTCGTATGCCTGCTGAAAATCAATGTAGAGGTGATGTAGGTCAACGTTGTATTCCAGTGACTTCTCTAGCACCTGTCGTGCGGTAAAGATCTGGTCAATAGTAGATCTACCCTTCCTAAAGCCACACTGATATTCGCCTACTTCCCTCTCCATGTGTGATATCAGTCTCCTACCAATGGCAGAGGATAGTATTTTATAAGCTATGCCAAGCAGTGCTATGCCTCGATAGTTCCTGCATTCCAGCTTGTCTCCCTTCTTATAGATTGGCATAGGACCGACACTTTCCACTCATCTGGGATCTCTTCCTCCATCCATATGTCATAAATAAGTTTATGGAGCTCATCCCAAACTTCATCTCTACCATATTTAAAAAGCTCAGCCTGGATTCCGTCTATGCCTGGCGCCTTATAATTCTTCAGACTCTGCACAATTTCCATTATTTCCTCTTTGTCGGGGGGAGGAGGGGGAACGTCGTCGTCGGCCAGTTCCTCGGGGTCAAGTTCTTCTATTTCATTAGGCCTTACAGCGTTTTCTGTTCTGCCCCGGTTAAGCAGCTCCCGGAAATGCTCCGCCCATCTGCCAATAACTGCTTCCTTGCCAACCACAAGGTTTCCCTCCTTGTCTTTAGCAAAATTAAGACGAGGTTTATATCCATCCTTAACTTCTCTTACACCTCTGAAGAAACTCCTGGAGTTCTGTGCATTGAAGCTCTCTTGTATTGCCTCTAATTTTCTCTTGTCAGACAACCTTTTCTTCTGACGGCATCTTTTCTCTTTTCTTTGAATTCTTGAGCATCAGATCTGGTAAGTCGTTGAAGCATTCTCCTCCTTGCTTCATTCCTTGCATCTACCAGGGTCTTGCATTCTTCATCATACCAGTCATTTCTTGCTGGTTTTTGAACTTCACCAAGCTCTTCTGCCGCTGCGGTTGCAAGGGCTTCTTTCATCTTTGTCCACCTTGAGTCGATATTAAGTACTTCCTGGTGAGCTTCTCAGTAACATTGGTTACAAACCTCTGCCTCACGTTTTCTTCTTTAAGGCGCTCAACAGCAAATCGTGGCGCAGGTTTCTCAGCTCTTCCCCTGGTTCTTAACGCAATCTTTTGTCGGTATTTCACCCTCACCAAATGATGGTCTGAACCACAGACAGCCCCACGAAAACTTCTCACATCCGCCATGTCCGTTGCGTGTCTTGCCTTGATCAGCACATGATCAATCTGGTTGCGTGTTTGCCTATCTGGAGATACCCAAGTCTCATTGTGTATGTTCTTATGAGGGAAGTAAGTACTGCTGACTGACATGTTCCTTTCCATAGCGAAGTCCACTATTCTGAACCCATTGTCATTGGTTTTCTCATGCTTACTATGGGGTCCTATGGTGGGTCTAAAGAAATCTTCCTTGCCTATTTTTGCGTTAAGATCACTCAATATTATCTTCACATCATGACCAGGCATCAAGTCGTAGGTTCTCTCCAAGGCTTCGTAAAAAGCGTCTTTTGTCTCTTCATCGGCATCTTCTATTGGGGCATGTGCGCTAATGATTGAGATGTTAAAGAATCTCCCTTTTAATCTTATTGTGCATATTCTCTCGCTCACAGCTTCAAATTTCAGGAGGGCATCTTTTATTGCATTTCTTAACATGAATCTCATTCCTATTTGGTTACGCCTGTGTCCGCTGTTGATAAGCAGATAATCACTTAGTTGGACCATTGGAGGGACGGGGTGGCCGAATAGGCTAAAGCGTGTGTAACAGCACCGCTAGTTGCCTGGCAACCGGATAACAGAGATTTGAGATGATATAAAAAGTGTGAGTTCCCGTCCCGGTGCCAGAGGGGATTTTAAATTCCCCGCCCTCTCCCCCGGCCCGGGAAAATCCTGTATAGCCGAAAAGGCGAGGTAGGGAAGAAAAAAAAAAAAAAAAGTTGGACCATTGGAGTATCCTTCCAACGTATCTCCTGAATAGCTGCCACATCCACGTCATACCGAAGCAACTCCGACTCCAAATTACAACTCGCTCCAACCTGGAAGAGACTCCTCACATTCCATGTTGCCAAAGTTAAGGATTTTCCTAGTCCACGCTTGGGTCGAACCAATAGATCAGTCCGGCTACGTTTCTGCTGATTATTCGTAACAATTTAGTTTTTTCCGGAACCAGGTCGTTAACCCGATGCCCAAACCCCAACCTGGAGGTCCAGTAGGATTTTCTGTCTGGGTCCTCTTCCTGTAGATGGCTGTCTTCACTACGACTGTAAAGTCACGTCCACCCTCGCAGTATGCCCTCAGTCCCATAGTACAGGTTTTCCTGGAGGCACTTGCTTTGTTTGAAAGGAGATGCCCTGCTGCCAACATCCCCCCACCCTGACAGGCCGGGACCCAGGTTATCCCCAGGTCGCCCTGTCAAGACCCCCTCTCTCGTTGGTCACCTACCCAGGTCCTCCGCAGGGATTTATGATTCTCCTTATGTAGGTCAATACTATTATACGTTTTTCTAGTTCAACTCAGACTGTTTCTGATGATTATGAATGACGGCGTATTCACTCAAATGATTATGAATGTTCAATTTGAATCATGAGAAAAAAAAATCATTAGAATTAGTTTAAATTGAAGCCATTTTACAGACAAATTTGTTTCCCAACTTTTTAAAAATGACAGATGTCCTTTGCTACTAATCTACCCGCCTTTTGGTTTAATGACTCTTAATTGGAATAGTAATATATTTTGTGGGAAGGAGCTTCAGCTACAAACTGTTCCATTAATATTATAATACATTTGGTTTGGCTCCACTATATAGAGCTTAGTGGTGATTGATTATACTTGTGATTTTCGGCTACAGCTCTTTTTCTTAGATCTTAGAACTATCTCTAGAATAAGCATTCTTTTTTTCCAAGCATATATTATGATTTTATCTTGTTCATCTATATTTTTATTCATAATTGTGAGTTGATGGTTGACTGTAGTGAATATTGAAGAGAAAGATGGTTAGGGTAGTCAATCAAAATAAAAATGGCAAAAATAAATAATAATATGTTAAAATTAATATTATTTATTTTTACCATTTTTATTTTGACTGATTACCCCAACCATCCTTCTCTTCATTATATTTTTATTCTTTTTCTATTGTCATGGCAAGAACATTAAGTTACCCTTATTCTGCTTAGCAATTACCAACCACCTCTTTCTAAACTTACGTGAGCAATAGAGATCCGTGGTTGAAAACATTCTGGTTTTACGCCATCTCTCCATTAACACTTCTACCTCCCTTGTTGGCACAAATATGGCCTTGCCTCTGAATTTTAATGAGTGAGGAGGTACAGAGATTCATGAAGAGCTGAAAGAACAATATATACACTTCAAAAGATGAAAATCTATGAGGACATGATCATTCCCTTAGTTACAAGAATTTGTAACTTTGTCTTGAAGATCTTTGAAAGAAGAGGTGTTCTAATATAAGGACATGAAGGTAGCTGAGACATTTGTTTCATTTTTCATACTTCAACTATTCTTTATAACTAAGTTTTCTCTTATTAGCTTAGTTTTACAAACTGATCAATATCTTAAACATCTTAGCAAAAAGCTTCAGATGCTCCTTGTGAATCTTTTTGATCTAATATTGTTGGCAAGCTGAGCATTTTCTTCCCTTCTGTATGATTCTTGAAATTTTGGAAATGGACATTCCTCAGTCTCCCACAAAGGATGGCTTTTTTTTTTTTCACTTTTGTTTAACAAGTTGAATATCCCATCATAAAATTTGCACAGTTCAACAACTGCCAATAAGGTGAAAATTGTTAACAAATCTTAAAGAAATTATAGCACTAAAACTCTAATATGTGTGCTGTGCTATTCTTTGGTCCCACTTCAATTTTATGATTTCTTAGTATTAGGGGGATTTTTCTTTTTTTTTTCTAATTTATTAAGATTGAATTAAGGAAATTTTATGTAAATAAAAATATTTAGTTTTAATCATATGGAGAGCATAGGAAAAAATATATATATAAATATATATATATATATATTTATATATATATTTTTTCCTATGCTCTCCATATGATTAAAACTAAATATTTTTATTTACATAAAATTTCCTTAATTCAATCTTAATAAATTAGAAAAAAAAAAGAAAAATCCCCCTAATACTAAAAAATATATATATAAATATATATATATATATATATTTATATATATATTTATATATATATTTTTTCCTATGCTCTCCATATGATTAAAACTAAATATTTTTATTTACATAAAATTTCCTTAATTCAATCTTAATAAATTAGAAAAAAGAAAGAAAAATCCCCCTAATACTAAGAAATCATAAAATTGAATTGAAAATATATATATATATATATATATATATATATATATATATATATATATAGTGTGTGTGTGTGTGAAGATTCATTTGAATTATTCAAGACATATTTTATTTCCATCTAAATTTAACGATTATATATTATATGTATATTAAACCCATGAAGGATCTTGGGTTCAGTACTATTTAGGAAAAGTACTGTTTCTTGTGCAAGTAGTTGATTTGCCTGAGATCACGCTCAAACTGCAAATTATTTAATTAAGGGTACTTATTTTATAAAGGCTGGGTGTGTCCCAGCGTCGCCTCCGTGACTGTTGATACAGAATAAATAATTTTTCTTCTTAGTCCCTATGTATATATATATATATATATATATATATATATTTTCATTCTCTGTTATACATCGTAGATGATTAAATTTGATTGACATGTTTATATATGTTGCAGTGAGAGGAGGAGAACCAGACCGAGGATTTATACAACGAGATGGTGGGATAATCTATCGGTTTAGGTTATTTACTAATATTATACGTATACCTAATGCCAGGGTTCCAGTTATTAAAGCTACACATATAGGAACAGGAATAGACCTTGATATAAGCGCAACTTCTGGACAAGCTGTTGCCAATAGTCGCATGATTCGTTTTCTTCTCAGTCATGATTGGAGAATAAGAAGTCTTATGATGTTAATAGGTTATTTAGGTAAAAAGTATACACTTATTGGAGTAAATAAATTTTCTAGATACTCCATAAATCTCCTAATCATATTTTATCTACAGAATTTGACATCTCCGATTCTGCCACCCTTAAGTCAAATTGTTTATGGGACACCGGGTAGAACATGGCCATTTGCATTTAATGAAAATGTTTTTTTATTAATGAACATTAATAAACAACCATTAGCCGAACTTTTTATAGGATTTTTTGAATTCTTTGTTGATTTTACCTTTTCAAAATATGTTATATCAACATATTTAGGAGAAAAAATTGCTCAGGAAGATATGGAAAAGGAGGAAACTTTAGATAAAATGGTTTATTATAAAAATTTTATTGAAAAGGGAGGTGATAAAATAGTATATAGAAGTATTTGCGTTCAAGATCCACTGGAACTTAGTCATAATACAACTAAAGGTATTACTGAAAAAGTGCTTTCTCAATTTAAATTTATCTGTACTAATGCTCTTCAAATTAAACAGACAGCTGATGAAGGGGATTGGCTCATCGAAATGTTAAAAATGGAATACATCCCTCCTGTGGTAGGAAAAGTTGGAAATAATCCCATACCGTTAGATGTTAAATTTGATTTTGAGGGCGAAAATTGGATTTCTATTGCTAAGCAGTCTTTACAGTTGGTATTTTCTTCTTTGGGAATGGATATTGACTGGAGTTATCCGGTTGTAGAAGATGATAAAAAAAAAACAAAGCTCTCACCTGGTTTGACGTTTTCTGTCGAAACAAGAAATTTTATTTTTCCTAAAGGGCTTAAATGGTCTTTAAAGCAGCTCAAAGAAGGTAATTACAATTTAAATGACCTGAAAAAATCTCTAAAGGAAATTTCTGAAACCAAACATCAAACGGTATTTTGTGCTCAATGTTTTGTATCACTTGACCAGCCTAAGTTACTTAGAATAACTATGAAAAACAATTGCACCCATCGAATGTTCTTTACAATGTTTCCCATTTTAAGAAGTGCTTTAGAAGTCTTGCTGAATCATGCTTTACTTGAAATCAACAAAACTTCAAGTGATTTGAAATTGACAGAGTGAAGATTGAATTTGTCCGAAAGTTTCAATTGGGCTCCAACCAGCTTGAATAATTATCTTATGTAAAATCTGGAATGTCTAATATACTTCAGAAATCTATACTATTTACTTGAAATACCATATACTCATGGTTTTACTTGAACTACCAAACTTGGTAAAATTAAAAATGAAAGACCTTTTTGGAGTTTGTCTTGCAAGAGGCAAATGACAAACCTTCCATTGATTGTAATTTATTGACCTCAGTGAAACATTTAGGCTGTGATAAATAATAGTTTCAATAACTTTGTTAATAAATTTTAATTATTTGTAGTATACTTCATGTATATTTTTTTGTGTTTGAACGTACTGTATATGTTATATATCCTAAGTCTAGTATATAAGTGCGTACTGATGTTTATGAGGTAGTAATTTATTGACATTTTAATTCAAAATTATTGTTAGACTTGGATATTATCTATAAATTGAATAATTTATATTTTTATTAACTAAGTATTTGTTTTTACTTTTTTTCTCTAACCCTTGGCAACCCATCTGAGACCCAGTTATATTTTCTCAACTAATTGGTATGAAACTAAATTTATTCTTGAAATTGTATCCTATTTTTATTCCAAAGCAAATATTTGTCATTCTATTAATCAATTTTTGGATTAAAATAATGAACTTTGCAAAATTTCTTGAACAATATATCGTGGGTGATAAATATTCAGGACGCAGTCATTATAAACTTTTTATTACTGCCGATGTTTCAGTCCAAACATGTGGCTCATCACCAGGGCTTGGTTCGAGCTCTTAAGGTGTTCATGTACTTGTATTCAAGTATTTCAGTGCTCGAACCAGACCCTAATGATGACCCACATGTTTGGGTCAAACGTCGGTACTAATAAAAAGTTTATAATGACTGAATATTTATCATCCACGATATGTAGAACAGTTGACTAACTTCGTTAAACAATTGAACATATACAGAACCTTAAGCATCAACATAATTTAATTAAACATTTAAAAAAATTTAATTAAACATTCTTGTTGTGATGCTTCCAACCTAAAACATAGTTACTGTATTAGAAGTTCCCTTCAATACAATAAAATAAAATAATATTTATATATGTATGTATGTACATATATATATATATAAATGAATGTATGTCTGTCTGTCCATCTGTACGTCCTTAGTGCATTACTAAACCATTCAACCGATCGCCATGAAACTTTGGGAAATTGTTCCGTACACTACCAGGAAGGTTTCTGTAAATGTTTTTCTGTTCAAAGCCACAAAAAAATGTGTTGCTATAAACTGTAGCGCCAAAACGGCTTTACCGATTTTAAAAGAACCTGGCTAAAGTCTTCCCCTTGAAACCCTTTTAATTTATGTGTATAACATACTTTCCTGAAAACAAGCTGAAAAATGTTATGATGAATTCAATATTTTATTTGACGATAACTAAAAAAGTATAGAATTTTTTACTGATAATACCCATATTTATATGAAAGATTTCTGAATTGCTAACAAAATAAAAATAATCATCGAAATCGGACAGTTCGTTGCAGAGTTATTGAGTTTTAAACATTTACTGCTTTCTCTTCAGAAAAGGCAAAAGTTACCTTTTGCTTCCTCACTACCGAAGGTTGGCAAGCATTTTTTTTTTTTTATTGATTAATCGAAAATTTTATAATTTCTAATCAAATGTTCAATTTGAATCATGAGAAAAAAAATCATTAAAATTAGTTTAAATTGAAGCCATTTTACAGACAAATTTGTTTCCCAACTTTTTTATAAATGATAGATGTCGTTTGCAATTAATCTACTCATATGTACTTTCTATTTTCTTTCTTTTTCATTTTGCCAGACTAAGCCACAGCAGCGCATGGCCGGGTAAAGCTAGTATATATATATATATATATATATATATATATATATATATACTATTATATATATAATAATAATATTTTAATATGAAAATATTCAAATAAATATAAATGTAAGGAACCCATATGTAGAGGTAAATATTTAAAAGGTTGATAGAAGACATCAAGATCTACAAAAAAGTTCATGTAAACTATTCTCCAATTTTCAGCAGAAAAGTAGAAAATTTAAGATTTGTGTTTTTTTAAGCAAGTCATGTTTTTTTATTGAATAGGAAGCGAAAACTAAATAAATATGTGATTTAAGGAATTAGACATTGCTCCATGGTTAACTAGACAATTCACCCAAGTTCCGTTCCAAAAAAAGTCTTGTCTTAATCCTTGAAAACTATACTCTTTAGTTCGTTTCATAAGATAGGTCTCGGGAAAGTAAGTTATGGGCCTACTGTGCCCAGAGCCTGATGGAGGGATTGCCTCCTTTAGAGCTTTCAGGCCAGCTCTCCCATTACTTCACGGGAAAGATACCACCGCTACTGACCTGAGACGGTGTTTCATTCATAACACCCATTCCGGCTGTAATGGGACCCTCCTCCTTTATCAGGAACCTGCAGCTATATCTAGCTGGCGGAGTTAAAAAAACAAAAACATAAATGTCATAAAAGAAAGTCATACATTTTTTTTTTTTTTTACCACCCTTCTACTGTACTAAAGTTAACCCACTGAAGTTTGTCTGCTCAATAGTCTATCTTTAATAATTTAAACAAAGACAAACTCTACTTTTGTTTAAAGTAAATTTTGTCTAGTTTACTATGGAGCAATTTTTAATTACTTTAATAGAATATTTTTTAAGTTATAGATTCCTATTCAGCAAACAACTTTTTTGTAGATCTTGATGTCTACTATCAACTTTTCAAATATTTCCCTCGACTTATGGGACACCCTGTATATGGAGAGGGTGGAATAGAAAAATAAATATACCACCATAGGTAAGTGGTAGTTATAAATCTAATTCTGGCCAAATGATTTGTGATATGGATTATAATTTAAAAAGATAATATATTGTGATTGTTTAATTATTTAACTCAGATGACGCTCAAAAACAAATATGGACCATTAAAAAAAATGTTAATTTTCAATTTTGGGAGCTTCGGTCTGAAAGCCTCCCCATGTATAAGTTACACAAGAATAATCTGTGTCACTGTCATAGGCCCAGACTTTCAATTTTGATTGGGAGGGGCGGGGAACAGAAAAAAAAAAAAAAAATGGTCGGAGTTTTAATTATGTCTAAAAATTCAACATAATTATTGTGAAACAAACTATTATAATATTTTTTTATTTTTATTATTTCAATGGAATTTACAACTGTATTACATAGAGAATACAATAAGTAAATGAGAAATTTGTAACATTATAATATTGAATATTTAAAATTAATTTGTTTGTACTGTTGTAAGGATTTTTGTTTATTTATTTTCTTTATTATATATACTTGAAAATATGTTTAAAAAATAAATACAGCTGGATAAGTAATGTATTTGATTAGATTAAATATAGGATAGAGGGGAGACAGCCTTCACAACATTAGTATATTTCCAGAACTTTTTCAGCTAACAATGAATAACGTAAAACAGTGAAGAGTATCTTTGATTTCTTAGTGTGTACAACCAGGAGTGTCCAGTACGGGATTTGATGGCGCAACTTGAGATTGTGCTTGCTGAAAACTTTTGAGAGGGTCATATTTTGGCTGATTTTTTAATATTTTAGGCAGCACATTTTGGCGGGGTTATGAATTTTCAGAATGGAAAGTTTCATACTAAAAAACAAGGAGAAAGCGAGTAAGTTTAATTGTATATAATTTACGCAGAGGGGCCTTTATCCATCCTTTCCAAGATATTTTATTGTTCTTCTCTTCTTAAAAACAGTGCAAACAAAAGTAGAATTTAAAAATTCGTAGATTATATACAATTACAACTCCTACAGTCTATTATATGCTTCCCACCTATCAAAACTTTTCATTCCGAAAATTCAAAACCCCGTCAGAATGTGCCCCCCCTCTCAAAAATTTTGATGACGCAACTTGAATGATACTCCCTTCTGGGCACTCCTGAATATACGATTTTTCTAATTTCGCTTGCTCTGTTTTTAAGAAAAAATTATCAATAAAATATCTTGTGAGGAGGGGAGAAAGGAGGATGGGTTCTTGCGCCATCGACGTTGGGGTGGGTTATGTGCTTTGTACAACCTCAAATAAAAATACAATGTTTTTCACAGTTTTAGTTCAAGTTTTAGTTTTTCTGCAGAAAATGTAATAAGAATACCACGTGAAAATTGAGGGGTGATTGAATCATTAAATCCTAGGATAAGTTGATATATATTGTTATCTTTGAATACAAGTGATAATTTAAATAAAAGTAACATTTAGGTATCAATAAAATAGTTACTCATACCCAGGGATGCCCATCCTCTCCCCCAAGGCCGATGGCACATAAGCCTTTCCCCATCCCTCCTAAGATATTTTATTCCTCTCTTCTTAAAAACAGTGCACACAAAAGTAGAATTTGAATAATAGTAGATTATATACCATTACACATTATGTGGTCTGTTCCATGATTCAACTTGTCTTTTGATTTGAAATTTTTCATTTTAAAAAAATCATGACCCCGTCGGATTATGCCTCCCTCAAAAATTGAAAATCCCGTCAAAAAATGTCTCCCTTATTAATTCAGGTGGCGCAACTTGCGCTATAAAACCCCCTTCTGGGCATCCCTCTTCATACATAGCCAGCTGGTCTACTTTTCTAAATCGATTTTGATTTACACATTTTATTCATTCATGTAGCTTATTTATTATTGATTTTAATTTTTTTTCACCTGAAATTATTTGGGGAGGACGAAACGATATTCTCGCCCTCTCAACATTTTTATTGGAGGAGGGGGGCGATCGCTCCTCCGAAGTTTGCGCCTATGGTCACTGTAATGTATATTATACACACAATGAATATCTATCACAAAGTTTTGACTATGTACCAATTTTGCCAAATTACTTTTCGTAAATTGATCTACCTTGTGCAAGGGTCTAGACACGAATGCAAATGATATTCTGGGATGGGAAAATGTTTCCAGTCGTGTGGTAATATTGTTCACACGGCTCTATTATTATAACTCATTTTCCCACTTCTACTGTGCGTAACATTCGCTTGTGTAAATAATATTCGTTGGGATCATAAGAGTTTGTAAACAAACAATTTCAGCACTATTTCATCTTTGATAAAAAAAAAAATAGGTCCTTCCCATTTTTAGTTTTGAAGTAAATAGCCCCTGAATGAGCTCTGTTGTGTTCTTTTGACGCGTCTTCACAAATTTTATTATTAAACTTTTCGGCACATATTTCTTACCTTTTCAGTTTTAGAACTGTTATCGAGTAGTATGGTTTGGATAAATTTGAATGGTATAGTTTAGGGCTAGTTGTTATGGCAATCTGTGACTTCGGAATCAGGATGCATTCAGGTATACATACAGGTTCAAAGTGGTTCGGCAGTGGTGGGAAGTGAATTAAATAAGTGTCTCTTTTCTTGATTCTTGCTTTGTGAATGTATAAATGCCGTTCCAGATAGTTCATATGGAAGA